ACAGATGGGGAAACTGAGGCACAGAGAGGTTAAGTGTCTTGCCCAGGGTCACGCAGCAAGAGAATGCTGGAGCTGGGACTACAACCCAAGTCTCCTGACTCCCAGTGTCCTTGACACTAGACCACACTGCTTCCAAAGAGGCATCCCCAGACTGGCTCTGAGCACGAATTAAAGACGGACAATGTTAGATGAGGTTTGGGTGTGGTTGTGTTTCCCGTGGACACGTTAGGATGGAACCTGAGGTGTTGCCTGGATTGGTTTTGGCATGCAGGTGTATGTGTTAGTTTCAATGGGTATATCTGGCTTCCTCCTGGCCTGTCCACTTCTCACTGCATTCTGGACTGGGTCACTGCAGAGAGCAGGGTCGGATGGTCAGGAGGTCATGACGGACTGGCACAGAAAAGGAACTCTGTCAGCTCAGCGCCAAGGGGCCTGCCAGTCTTTGGGAGTTCAGGCAAACTAGGGATGCAGGACTTTGGAACGGAGTCAGCTGCCCACCTTAGGCAGGTCTGCTTAATCTTTTTAATTTTTTTTTTTTTTTTTTTTTTTTTTCTGGCCAGCATCTGGAAGTTGTGTTCATTTCATTTCTCTGTGGGGTGGCTGTCCCCCTCCTTTTCTCTCTCTCACTCTTTCCCTTTCACTGAGTCTCTGCTTGGAAGGTAAAACTGTTAAGCCTCATACGTTCCCTTTTATGAAAAAGAGCCACCGTGAGCAGCGTCCGCGACAGGCAGCCATGGCTCCGCAGATGAGCCACGGTGCCGCTTCCACCTTCTGGAGGAGTGCTTTGCTTGGAAGGGGTCTCCCTGGGGCCTTGGGTTTGCTTTTTCCTGCATTTCTCCCGAAATGCTGTTTCAGTAGAAATAAGCCCACTTGAGACTTTTCCCTTTCAAGGCCTTAGCCACAAACGCCTTCCGACTAACCAGCTTGGTGCCGTAGCTCAGGCAGAAAACTCTAAAGCATCCGTTCAAGCATCTGAAACAAATGAATGAGCCAGTGAAATCTCATCTGTTAGCATCTACTCTCCTCTTAGATTAAAAAAATAAAAAATTTAAAGAGAGCCTCTTTGTGGCTTTAGGTGGAATCATGCTTTTAAAAAGGAAAAAAAAGAATCTTACTACTTTTTTGACTAAGGTGACAAGATAACAGGTATTTGATCCTCCACAGACTAAATCCCTGTGGAGAATCCCATTTTCCTCTGTCTTTATGCCCCAAGCCTCCCCGAGAAGGACATCAGGGTGCACTAGGCACTGAGAGTCATCGCTTCTTGTACAACACCCACATCTCCCCTTGACCCTGGCCTCACCATCAAGTGGCCAGGGCACAGGATTTTAGATTATTTAACCTAACAACCTAATTCTTTATTGCTAGAAACAAAGGTCTCCTCCTTAAACTCAACTTCCAAACAGGTAAAAAAGACTATCCCTCTAGAGTTCTCCTGTCATTAATATGGGATAAGTGGAGGACAGAGTGTCTCCCTGGACACCACCAGTGTGCATGTCTTTTGCATAATGGAAATTCCTGAATGTTGAAAGAGAGAAATGAGCAAAACTTTTCCTACTTTGGGATCTTTTTCTCATCCCTGGGACACTGGACTAATTAGTGTCGGGTACTTGCATAGCAGTCCTCATCTAGAAGGTATGATGGGACATTCCACATGCACTGCTACCTGCGGGGAAAGGGACTGAGTTTTCATGGCTGCACGGCTGTGTTTACTGGCCTTTTGTTTACTGGCCCTAGTGGAGACGTGCAGGCCACTCGGATGCAGCAACAATGCATGGAGAGCAAATGCTGAGTCAAACCGAACTGAGGATGGCAGGAAGGAGGTGGGCGGGAGGAAAGTTTAAAAGGCCTGATGCCGCTTCTCTCTGGTCCCCTCTGGAGGGGGGCTGGAGAGAAGATTGCTTTTAATGATGAAGATGGATGGACGGATGGAAGGTGCACACTCATTCAGACCACAGAGGCCAGAGGACACCAGGAGCCAAGCTCCTCCCCACACATGGATCCAGGAGCCCTTCAAGCCATTCCTCTTCAGTAGAAGGCAACAATGCAGTTGGTCTGAACAGAAGGAGGTCAGATGGAGCCCACAGGGTTCAAAACCATCGTGCATCCGTGTGCCCTCAAAAACCATTCCCTAGGGTGGGGTCACACAGAAACAGAGCCAGTTCTGAAGGCTGTTCAGAAAGACTGCACTCTACACAGCACCAGCACACACATGCCTACGTCTTCACCTCTGCGCTCACACTGGGACAGCCAGGCTCCATTTTCCACCAGCAATCAGTTCCCTGCCACGGGAAGACGCAAGTCACCCCCGCTTCTCAACAGGCCACGCCTACTCTCAGGGCCTTCCCCAAGGACACATGTCCCTATCCTAATTACACTGCTGCACATTTCTCCCACTGCTATTGGGCCCCATTTCCCTAACTGCTACATTGTCACGTAACATTTCATCACGCAGAAAGGAAAGCCTCCTCAAGCTAATTAAATGTAGAGCAACGAATCACATTTAAAGCCATTTCTATAGCAGAGGAAGTCACAGATGTAATTAGAATTATCCTTTAAGGAGACAAAAATTGTCTATTTTTAATGTTTGTTTCAGAATCAAAAGCATTTTCAGAATTTATCTGTCAAGATTATGAATACAACTTAATTTTCTAGGCTGCATACTCAACATAAATTACAGACATATCCTCAACTCCCAATGGAACCATGTGAAAAAGTGTCGATATCAACTAACGAAATATTTAAATTTCACCAAGGAACTAAAATTCTTTCTATAAGCAATAAAATAAAAAATGTTTAGGAGAAAGAAAACCCTCAACATTATTTTAATACAATGTAACAGCCTTTTCATCCACAATCTATAGATATAGTATTAGCACTATTTGACCCTTCAACGTAACACTCATAAACCCCGTACATGAAATGTGGTAATTACTCAGCCATATGTTGTTTTTGAATGTTTGAAAACATCAAAACAATATAAGCAGCCACCAGAGCAAGTACTGAAGCCACCTAATTGGGAAGTCTTGGGGGTTCAGAAAAGGTGTAAGTGACCCTGCATCCAAGTGGTCGTCATACATGCCTTCCACAGAAAACAGAAGTGTCTCATATACATACCTGACTTGATTACTGGAGATCATGACATAAGCCATCAATGAAAGAGGGTATTTCCCCTTCTAGAAATGTCATTGTGTTCTGACCTCAACTAGACTCCTAGGACAGCAAGCAGCTCCCTGCAAGTATACGGCTCCATAGAACTTGGAAATCTGGCCAGCCTAGACCCCTAAGCAGAGGACTACCTTAGGAAAGAGCCTTCAGAAACATGTTAATCACCCCTTTTCCTTGCACCCAACCTGGCCATGCTGTCCTCGAGAACATATGGACCAGAGACTGTTCAAATATGCAAACACATCTTTTTAGTTTGCTTCGTCTCTCTGAGGCTGGTTATGAACTGCAATCCAGGAGAAGGGATGTCACTTTTGCAAACCAGATCTGCCACAAGTGACAGAGCTTAACTCATAAATCCTACAACCGGAGATGGCAATGAGTTGCATGACTAGCCTGTGATCCCTGAGCTAATTTCAGGATATGCGATCACGGAAAGAAAAATCAGAGCTGTCTTCAGTCAGATTCAGCGGCCACCTGTCTCCCACCCTCATGTGTGCCTCTTCCCCCAGCCCCTGCAGCTGTCCAGGCAGAGCAGAGGTTTCACCATGAATCAGCATGTCACTGTCATGCAAGGTCATCTACTAACCCACCATATACACAGCACCCCGCATCCGCATGCATTCACCATCACAGTCTCTCTCTCAGCAAGATCATAAAGTGAAGGTTACTTCACTTCGGTAGTTACCATTACTTTGATCATGAAACAACACTGGGCATTTTCCCCTAGAAAAAAGTGAAGGACTGTTCCATGTTGAACCCTATCAACACCTACAAGGCCAAGTTTAAGACATGTGGTGATAACAGGGACATAAAAGTAATTTTAGTGTAAACAGATAAAAAGAAAAAAATTATCTTATTCACCATGGACTTAAAACACTGTAGGTAGCAGAGATGACAGGACTTTGAATTAACTTGGATAGTTGTCTCTGACAGCTTGCCAACCTCTGTACTTGCCTTTTCCCTGTTTCCCACCTTTCCCCATGCCCTGCTGTCTCCATCACCAGCACTCACAAGCCACCCTTCCTAGCCCCTCTTCCTGCAGGTCTCCACCGTGACTTCTCTGCCCCTCTGCACACCTGCTTCCTATCCCAAAGCTTTGGGCTTACCTAGAATTCTACATTCCCCCAGTGCATGGACTCCAATTGACACCAGAGGTTCCTGAAAGCCACATGCACACATTAGGAGCCTGGGGCAGGGCCCAGGCTGGAGGTTGGGTGGGGACCAAAGGCTGGCCTGGAAGTGAGAGCAGCAGGAGCACAGCAGCCTCACGGCCATCAGGAGACAACACAGAGAGAGACAGACATACCACACACATACCCACACATGCGCACGCACACAATACACGCCAGGAGATGATGGATGTTACTGAAATGGACCGAAAACCAACAAGCAGTGGGGTAAGAAACAAACAGAAACAAAACAAAGCACTTGCGTTCAGATGGAAAGCTGTTCATTCACTGGGCAGCCAGAACCCCCGAGCCCAGGGCTATGGGGAAGGTGGGTGCCTGCTTGGAGGACACTGCCTTTGGAGAAGACTGGAGGGGCTGGGGTGCGAGAGCAGTGCTTGCTCCCCTCCCGCCACTGTCCCTGGGGCCCTATCACACGGGCCTGTGGTGGCAAGTGCAGGGCATAACGGAGAAGGCAAGGTGGGGGGAGGCACTTACCTTATGGCCCAGAAATGGCTAGTCCACATTTGGGGGAGTGTGCAGTATCTCAGTTTAAACAAAATCCTGGTGGTACTGCTCAACCATGAAAAGTCAGCTCTCTAGTATTTCAAATAAGCTTGTAAAATCGTTAGTGAAAAGAGAAAACAAAACAAGACGACAATTCACCTGTAGGGCAATTGTGGTGTTCTTCGCAGGGTACTTTCCCACCAGTCCTTGTTCTTTCCGTTTCTTGAATTTCCTAAAGTAGTCCTGTATCAGGAAAGTGGCATAGAACTTCCCCACGGTTACCTCATCATCTAAACGGAGAGACCAGACAGAGCTCTCCCGAATCAGCACATTTGGACCAAAAGCCTAAACACTCGCATCTGGCTGGGGCAGGGGTAGTGGGGAGGTGCAGAAGGCACCAAGCTCTCAGCCTACAACACCGGAGACTCGGTCTAACAAAAAGCAAGGTTTTGCAAAGCAGTTAAGGCTCAAAATTAGAGTCAGTTAAATGAACTGATACTCAAAGTTGCAAAAAATAATATATTTGTCATGAGTTGAATAGAGCAGCGTATTAGTAACACTATGAAATGCCATCTTGGTTATTTACTTAAAATAAAAATTACAAAACAGAAACGTTTCACGGGCCATGTTTTCACTCCTGTGCACAGGGATTTGCATGTGTAATTACTGTAAACATCAAGGGCAATTAACCATCCAAATCCCAATGTCTCAAGATAGAGTCCTAGAAAGGTGAACACAAGCTCAGAAGGAGAAGGGTCAGAAAAGTGACTGCAAATCCAGATTTTCATGTGTTCCCCCATTCTCTGCCAATAAGCTCCTGATACCATTTCTTGGTTTGTAATTCAGAACCGCTTGTTTTCTGCACTGCAGTGACAGCTCCAACTAACCTCAAAGTTAAGCTGGGCTTATTTCTGCTTATTTCTGTTTAGAAACAACCTCCAACACATAGCGTTAGGGAATCAGAACTCTGCTGACAACTTTAAAGGTGATGCATGAGGCAGAATAGAAGCTCTGGTTGTCTCATGGTAAACCACCTTGCACATGTAAATGTGCCCACAGGTCTCCCATGGATGCTTGCCTCCAGATCTTCAGTGTCCTGAGGACTCCTGGGTGGAAAGCTTAAGGCCACCTGGGCAGCCCGCCCCACGTGGGGCCATTGACCATGACTTGCAGAAGCTGGGAGGAGGAATGGCTGCTGGTCCTCAGGCTTTAGCACAGTTAACCTTTTAGCCAGGCGACCCACGCAAGAGTTGCACAAGCAAGGGGCTCAAGCTCTCCGAGCTTGCGTTCTCATCTGTAAAATGGGGATAAGTCTTTCAGAGGAGCTGCGAGGATTACATGAGAGGAACAGGTAAATCACTCAGCCCCCTAACTTGGGTCATCCTAAGTGCTGGTGCATGATGCCAACAGAGCACTATGATTTACAACCTGCCGACAGTGGCACCTACTGCAATGGATCCTAAAGCACAATAGGGTGGAGGACACTGGGATCAGCCATATCCACTAATGCACCCTGGGTCAGCCTTCCTTGGCAGAAAGTTACTCAGTGTTACAGCGTGAGAAGGCAGCCTCGAGGTGGTCTGGCCTTGAGAAGTATTAAGTTCCTTGTGAACCCAAGCTGGGCAAGTCCTGGGGTTACATAGGGGGCACCAATGCAAGCTTGAAGCTCTGAACAGCATGTGAAACACTAAGCACTCTCAGGCTTGTGTACAAGGCCTAATGATGCATGCCCATAGGCAGGACACGAGCAGAAACCACACAGGTCTCGCTGTCCCACCCCCTGCTTTGCCCTCCAGCCACTGTTTTGCCCAGGGTGCATTTAGAATATCAGTGCTAGCTGGCCCCTACAATGGGGCATCTATAGGAGCTGAGCCCCGTGTCAGAGGAATTCCACATGGGTCTTATGGCCTCTTCACAACTACTCTGAGGTGGTGGATGTGCTCACCCTCACAGATGAAGGGAAGGTTAAATGACCTGCCCAGCTCAGCTGAGCCAGGATCTGAACCCAGGACAGTGTGCCTTCTGAGACTGGGTCCTTTCCTCCTCCACACCACCTCCCTAGAGCTGGGCCAGCTCCAGCCACATCGACACCTGCTTCTTTGGAGCTCTCTCTCCCACAGTACAAGTCTATCTTCTTCCTGGGCTGTACATGGGAAGTGGACCAAGCTCAGCCTACTAGCGCATCCTGGGAACCCAGGGAGATTCTCCATTTGCCATGCCACAGCCACCCTCTGTAGGCCCCCAGGAAAAGTACTGGCTTTTCCTGCAGAAAGCCCACCTCATTCTGCACCAGAATGCTTCCAGCAAACATAGGCCTAACCCTTTCCTCCCTTCAGCATCCAGAGCAGAGGCAGCCCACTCAGGGCTCTGCAGGGTAGGAGTCAAGGGCCACCCTGGACTTCTCCACTGAGACACTGAGCTAATTGGGAGACTGAGTTCAAGGAAGAGCTCTTAAGAACAAGAGAAGTCAAAGCTACAGAAGGACAGAAAAGGAAGGAAGAAAAGACAGTGAGGCCATCTGGGCTCAGGACTGGAGAGAAAGAGTTGGGGTCAGCTTGGTGTGCTCCACAGGGCAAAGGAGCAAAAGAGCCAGGTCAAGGGATGAAGGCCCAAAAGCGAGAAGAGTCTTTGGGAAGGAGAGGACCTGAGCCGAGATTCAGAGATGAGACAGCCCAGCTCATGACAAGGAAGCAGTCGAGGCTGTCACCAAGGCCACTGAGTGTGAAGAGGGAAATTCCTGACGCGTATTCCACAGTTCATTCCCGAGCACTGCCTTACTTTCAAGTTCACGATGAGCCAGGTGATGTCTCACATCACACCAGCCAAGCCTCCTAAGACAAGCATCCCACTCTGCTCGGTCACTGGGTTATGAGGGGCTCCCTAGGCACCGCACATCTGCCAGTCCCACGCACCCAGGGCAGAGGCTGCCCTTACTCAGTCTACTGCTCTTTGACCAGGTGACAGTGTGGGGATTCTCAAACCCTCAGCTTCAGGAGCTACCCATCTGTTTGCCCAGTGGTGTGTCCAAATATTATCATTTTCCTAGTGTGCCATGATGCGGGAAAGGCTGGAAAGCATTAGTCTACTGGAAGATAAAAGCAAAAAAACAAAGAACCAAATGATGACTACAAATACTAAACCCTACCCAGCAACTGTTCCAGAGTCTGTGTACAATGCCTAAAGAAGCCACTGCCTTCTGGTCTCCTTTGGTGGCAAGAGTGCTGTGAGAGCCCGCCCGGATTAGCACTGCCCTGGCGCATAAACACAATGGCCTGGAGCTTGGGCAGCAGTCAGCGCTCGAAGGCCCTTTTCCTTCTCAGGATTCACAGTGCCTCCAGCTGCCACTGATAAACACTGGTCATCCTAACCCTAATCCATTCTAAGAAATATATAGAAAAAGCCAGGCCCACTTATTGGACCAAGAAAGCAGAATATTTAGCCATTATTAGAAGTCTAATAAAGCTAAAAGTCGATCAGTTTTTCAAAGGAAGGAAGCTGAGATGGTGAGCCAAATTCTGGACTCTTCCTGGTTAAATGAAAAGTGAAGTTTCACAGTAATGCAAATGACACTCTCCAAGTGCACCTCACGACGAGGGGCATTTCTGTGGGAGTTCGACTGGTTGTAATGAAGGTGGGTTTCAAGGGAGATGGGAGGTGGAGCGAGGGAGGAACGTGTCCTCCGGCTCGGCTCGCGTGAGGACGGTTTACATAGACAGGCACAGCCTGCTATTCTGAAGCATGCATCTGTATTTCAAGAAACATGTAGGGGAATACAGCTGGCAAGAGATAACTCTGATTCCATGCCACCACCCTAAAACAGAATTGCTTCAGAATATTCTGAAAGACTGAGAGTTGAAAGGAATGGAGGCTGCAGAAAAAGCTCAAGCACATTGTTACAACAATTTAAAAAAGCAATTCACGTAAGCCATGCGAGCACTTGGATGTGCAGCTAAAAGGAAAAGAAGGAAAACCAAAGAGTTGTTTTAAACGTGCAGTATCAGTTCTGTGGGGAGCCAGGGCTCTCTTGGGGAGGTGGAGGGGGGGCTGTTTGGTTTTACTTTTATCATTTCTCTCTGGGCCATCTTCCCCAGCTTTGAGCCGGTGGCCGTACCAGCTATGGGTGGCTTCCTTTGGAGACAAGAGCTCACACTGCCTCTCGCTCCATGCTGAGGAACAGAACAGACCAGGAGGCAGCTCTCTCCAACCCCCAGGAGCCTTCTGAGAGGGAGAGGCGCTGGCCACCATCCTGGCCCGGGTTCCAGAGTCAGCTTCCAGACCCGAGCCAGATCAGTCTTGAAAGCTGCAGGGGCAGAGACACCATAGAAGTTCTGTTGGTTGCAAAACACACCCACTGCTAGTGCCCAGGGTGAGGGATGGCTAAAATGCTGGTGTGGTGGCACTGAGTGAACAGATCCTGCACCTTTAAAACCTGAAAATAAAACAGTCAAAAACCAACCACCTCAACTTCTAAGTCCATGTGTATTCGAACAAAAATAAAAAAACAAATATATATATATATATATAATATAGACGTTATATATATATAAAAATTTGAAAATGTTTAGTCAGTTATTTTGTGATAAATAACAAAAGGAAACAAGCATGCCTATTCTGTCTCTACTCTAAATTCTAATTAAAAGGATATTTTTGGTAATTATGGAAGTAAATTCCATCTTGATAAGAACATTTCTATTTTTTGTGATAAGAACATTTCTATTTTTTGTGAGACGTTTTCAACAATATCTAGAAGGATAATTAGAAACTAATTCTGAATATTTCATTTTGGACCAAAAAAAAATAGGCTTTCCATTTTGAGATAGCAATCTTGACCTTTAACATTAATTCTTCCACCAATAAGAAAACCCCTGCTCCAGCCATGTGGGTTTTGGTTTCCTTCCCACTGAAGCCTCTGCTTTGTCTGAAATGGTCTTCATATTACCCCAAATAATTATACCAAAAGGCCAAAGGGCTTTTCTTTAGCTGTTGGCTGGCCTTAACACTCTGATACATAAAACACTCTGCAAATACTCCTCAGACTTTCTGGAGATGCTATTACTAAAACCAACGTGTCTGCCAAGAACCACTGAGGAAATAGATTACACTGACCACCAGCTGGAGGGACAACTTGGTCAAGTAGTTTCATGCTGGTTTTCTTCCAGATTTTCTTTATCACAGCTCGAAGTTCTTCATTAGCTTGTTCCAGGTTCCCTGAATCCAAAAAGCAAAAGGGGAAGACAAGCCTTGTTTCTTGCTTCTTCTTCTTTCCCTCTTCTCACCAGGCTGCCCGGTCCCAGCCTGACCAGGATTAACATGAGGCCCTCTGACAGGCTCCCCTCCCACTGGGCTCCCCTCAGTTACGGTCAAACACGCTTCCTTCATTAGCACAAGTGGTCAAGCCCTCCCAATGAGATGTCCCTCCACTGTGGGAACAACCATGTTTCACCATGGAATTCAAGGCCATGGCACTCTGATCCTGTCCTCTGCTCCCGCTGTTCCCAGCCCAGAATACTTTCTCCTTCACTGGCTGCTCCAAGTCCTGCCCCCATCCTTGAAGATCTAGCCTAAATTTCACCCAAATAAGACTTGTCAATTCCTACTGCACGTACTCATCCATACCACATAACTTTGGTCTTTTATTAGATGGGCTCATGTTTGTGTTCTCAACCAACACGTCAGCATATGAGATCATCCTGCCTTCTGGAAGCTTTGATGATGCTGGCTCGGGGGCAGGGACAGACAAGCGCACCACAAGAAACACATGTTAATTAGGGTGGAAGAGGCTGGCTTTGCTGGACAGATTCACCGTGAGCTCCAGGGTGATGAGAAAAACACCTGCCATTGTCTTGGCATGCGTCCCTGGCAGCATCCTCTCTTCTCCTTCATCAAGTGCCTCAAAGAGTCAACTCCCTGCAAGGTCTCCACTTCCTCACCTCCGGTCACTCCTCAACCTGCTGCAATCTGCTGTCCACTCTACCTCTGAAGTTGCCACTGAGCCAACCCCCAGTGGCCACATTCCAGTGCCTGTTTTACTAGGTCTTGATAAGGGCTGTGTGTGGCTGTAAAGACCACTCTAGTTTGGTCTCTCAGCTGGGAAGATTCTGGTCCTAGTGAGATATGAGGTGCTCAGTTTCCCCTGGGTTCGGGTTGCAGGCCACTCCTCTGAACTTCAAGCTACTCCCCTGGGTCTCAAACCACTCCCCTAGGACTCAAGCCCCTTCATTGAGTCCTGAGCTACTGCTGCTTGTTGCACCTTTTTTTGGTACCAACACATGGAGATTGAGACTGCAGGAGGCAGATTTATGTAATCTCAGTGGCCAAGCATGCTCAGTAAAAAGGAAATTATCCCTTGAATGACATCCCACTGGAAGCGCTAGAGAGCATCTAGAATATTCTAAGTGTATTTGGTGCATGTGATAGAATTTGACCAATGAACATATTCTACAGGAGACCAACTGAGCATGCACAAACCTGTTACATATCTGGGAACCACCCCCTTAGTTGAATATTCATTAGATAGCATGAATATATATGGTAGCCAAACTATAAAAGTTGAATCCAGGAAGACGGTTGGGCTATTGCTCATTCTCTCTCCAGCCCGCACTTCACCTGTGAGGTGTGTGTATTTTACTTTCTTGTGTTAAACTTTCCTTTAGTAGGCTGCTATTTGCTCTGAAGCCAGCCTGTACTCTGTCTGTAAAGTGTGTATTTCTTACTTTTGTATTAAACTTGGTGCGGCTGCCACTCAGTCTCTGGAGCTAGTCCACCCTTTCCCTGTGAGGTCTGTATTTCTTATTCTTTACATTAAACCTGTTTTCACTTTCTACTGTGACTCTGCTCTTGAATCCTTTCCTGTGGTGGAGTCAAGGTGGGTTGAGGCTGGCTATCCAACCTCCCTAGATCCTCTCCTCTGGTATCATTACTAGTTATTTCCTAAGTGTTGACTGCCAAGGGGATTTTGTAGACATCACCTCATTTCATCCTCTGAACCTTTCCTGACAGGTGTATTTATTTCCTTCTTTATAGAGAAAAACTATAGCTCAGAGCAGCAAAATCGCCCACCAAAGATCATACAACTAGTAAGGGACAGCTGGAGCAAATTCATCTGTGATGTCTCTGTCTTTGCCCCAATACCCTGCCTACTTCTCTTGCTATGTAGTAACCAGTGCTATGAGTCAACTCAAAACATTCTGGGAAATAATGAAGCACAAAGGAAAGAAGGAAAGAAAGAATGGGGGAGGCTGGGGACAGCCAGCCGCCTCCACACAGACATTCTCATTACACTCACCACCCCCTGCCCCAGGACCTCCCCTTTGCCAAGAAAAGGCTCAGATGGGAGAACTCAAGGTGGGATGTGGCATCTCCTCTCTCTTCTGCCACCTGTCCTGCTTCCAGAGAATGCTCACCTTCAGTCTTGATCTTAAGAGCTGTTCGAACCAAAGCAAACAGGGTTGCATTAAACATGACTGTCCCATCACTGTTGAGAGGCATGTTCATGGCAACTAATCTCTGTAAACAGAAAAGGTTTTCAGCAGGATGCAAATGATTGACAACAGCCATATCCCTTTTTGATGTTTATTTTCTGTTTATAGCTCATCCCTTTTCTAGTTAAGCCTCAATTTGATTCAATTGGTTCATTTTATGTGTCAACTTGACTGGGCCACAAGATGCCCAGATAGTAGGTTAAACATTATTTCTGCGTGTGTCTATAGGGGTGTGCTTCTGGACAAGATTAGCATTTGAATTGGTAGACTGAATAAAGCAGAGTGCCCTCCCCAATGTGGGTTGGCATCACCTAGTTGTTGAGGGTCCAAATAGAACAAGATGCAGTAAGACTGAATTCTCTGCCTGCCCGCCTAAACTGGAACATCAGTTTTCGCTGCTCTTGGATGGAAACATATCTCGTCAGCTCCTCTGGGTCTCAGGCCTTCAAGCCCAGACTGAACTACATCACCAGCTGTCCTAGCTCTCCAGCTTGCAGCCAGCAGATTGTGGGACTTCCTGGCCTCCATTACCATGTGAGCCAAATCTTCACAAATCACTGTGTGTGTATATATGTGTCTGTATATATACTTGTATGCATATACACACACACACATATATCCATATTCATATCTATCCTACTGATTGTGTTTCTCTGTGGAACCCTAATACAATCTACCAGCTGGGGGGCTCTGGGATGACAAAGATCAAAGTTTTAGTCATTAAATGTAAATGCTGACCCTCTGATGTTGTGTTTTGTTTGTTTCTTAAAAAATTAAACCTCATTGTTCAAGTATTCTTCTCCTTTTCTCAGTAAGTAGCTCTCCATGTGTCCTAGGGTCAGACCCCCATTCTGGGCACATTCTTAAAGCTGTTGTGAGAGTTAAATGATGTAACAGACACAACAGGCCAGGCATGGAGCCTGTGACTTAGGTTTTCAACTAATGGGACTCATTACTACTCCCATCACAGGAAGTCTCGGAACCTTCCCTAGCAAGGCCATCATGTCGTGTTTTCTTACAGTCTGTGTAGCTTCTCCAAGGATTTGCTTTTTCAGAGCAGAATCCACACTCGCTAGTCTTCTTATATCTTTCCTGGTCCCTCTATAGCAAGGCCATCATGTCGTGTTTTCTTACAGTCTGTGCAGCTTCTCCAAGGGTTTGCTTTTTCAGAGCAGAATCCACACTCGCTAGTCTTCTTATATCTTTCCTGGTCCCTCTAACACCAGCAAAAGGAATTAGAGGGGACCTGGGTGAGGGACACCCTCTCTGGGCCCCAGTCACCCCAATCTGTAAATGCAGATAACATGTCCAGCTGAAGGAGGTTTGAAACGAATGAAGGAGATTGTGGACACAAAGATCTTTGTGCCTGGCACATGGCAAGTGCCAAAGAAATGGTAACATTAATTGTTAATATTTTTAAATTTATTTTTGCTTGGCAGTGTGTCCCAAGATTTTTAAATTTTTCCCTTTCCTATTGATGGACTGGAATCTTATGTCCATGGCGTATCCTACCTAAATTCCTTGCCCCACTACTAACCATCCCTGTCTCCAAAACCAGCGCAGGCAGCCAGCATGCCTTGGACATTCATTCATTTTTCCTGGCAAATTCCTGAGTCAGCAAAATGGATGGCTTTGTGCCTCGAGGACAATTACATACTTTATGTAAATGGGTCTGGAAATCTAAACACAAGACAACATCAATGAACTGGAATGTTTACTGTTCTTGGAAAGCAGCAAAGAAGCTGATATTGGGAAATTTTTTTTAGGGGGGGGGGAAGTAAACTTCTATGGCTTATTCTCTGTCCAGAGTCCAGCCTGAGCAGAAGCAAGGACCCCAAGGACTTGCCAGGGGGACATTCTGGATCTTCAGGGCAAAGAACGTGAGTTTGGCTCAGGGGATTTCTAAAATGAAGTACATTTTACACTCTGCTCTGTTCCCTTGGTTTCTTTCTAAAGCTGGCCCAGCAACCTGGAGTGGTAAAACCCCTGGCCCCAGGATCCCCTTGGATCCATTGGGAGTAGGAACCAGCTATTGTGTAGACTGGTTGGATTTCTATACGGCAGAGTTTAACAGGCAAATCTTGCATTTCTCCTTTAAAAAGGGACATACCTTTTTGTTGCCATAATGGACAAAAAAGGTGGTTCACTGTGAGCTCTATGGAAGGAAAACAAATCTCAACTAGGGCTCAACTAGGGCATGGCCTGTTGTGGAAACCACAGAAATGGGGTGGGTGAGACAGCTGGATCCATCCCAGAGGGGCCACAGCCTGACATGCAGGAAATGGGCCCATCTCCAGCAGTGGCCACAAAGTGCCACAGCTAAGGGGCCGCATGAAGATGTCCTAACAGTTACAAATCCAAGAGTTCCTCAAGGACAGGAACCATGTATAATCCACCCTCACATCCCCTGCACCTGACAGAAGGCCTGGCCCAGTGTCTCTTATTGTTTGTTGAATGAAACAATAAGCCCCTGCAAGAGAGGCTGTCAAACCTAAAAACAAAACACTCACCTTACATGCTACCCTGTGTGGGCATAATTTCCCAAACCCCAGGGGAGGCTGGATGCGTCGGAGCAGAGTGACCACGTCAAGGTGTTTTATCCTTCCCCTGGAAGCAAAGCACAGCATGAGGCTGGCCTGAGCTTTCATCCATCCCACCTTCCACAAAAATCACAGTTGACATTCCAAAAACAGCCCTCACAAGCTACTTTGTGAAATGCCCAGCTGAAGGGAGTTGAAATCCTTTTCAACCTACTTTGCCTCAGGGTCATATTCTGACCATATTCTTTTGAATTCATCTAAATGGTGAGGCCCCAGAATAGACCAGTCCCGGGTCAGATAGTCAAAGTTGTCCATGATAACAGCCACAAACAGATTGATGATCTGAAAAAGCAAAGCAGAAGGAGAGTTGCAGTTTGCAGTTGGATTGCAGAAGTTTCAGCTGCAGTTGGATTGGGTTAGACCCCAATATGTGCTTCCTAATTATATGGACATGAAATATTTGAACCCAAGTCTCCAAGAAAGGTGGTAAAAACTTTCTCCTGGAGAACATTTAAGAAAAGGCCAGGCTTCTAACTTTCCACAATGGCTTTGGTATAGTCCCAGGGGACGGCAGGTGGACACATTGGCTGGCCTTCTGAAGCACACTGCAATTTCATAATTTCTTTACCACCAAATAACTCACACTCTTAAGTCACTCAAAGCCATGTACAGTGGCTGTGAAACTGTTTGAAAGAAACTAGCAGCCCTAAAAAGCTGGGGTGGTTGGTACTTGCCCTAAGCCTGTTAGCAAGCCCGCAGTCCCTGCTCACGAGGAAGGAGGCAGTGACACATGTCTGGTTAAACAAAACCTTCAACCACCAAGCGGAGGCCAGAGTGCTCATCCATGTCAACTGTCCTGCAGCAATGTGACAGGGCAACATCACTGGGCCGAATCTCAAATGCTACACACACATCTGTAAATTGAGAGGGGGGGCTATTTTGACCACTTACCAGAAATGCGCACAGCATGTAAAAACTGATGAAGTAGACAATGGCAAAGTTGCTCCCGCACGAGTACTCCTCCCCGGGGTTGTAATCTGACTCGGGGTCGCAGAGCTTCCCCGGGAGGCAGGCCAGCATGATCTCCTGCCATGCCTCCCCTGTCGCACACCTTTTTTAGATCAAGAAAAGAAAGGGTTTTAGTTGGGGGAAGAAGGGATTTAAGCCTCTGACCTTCGAAGGAAAATTCTTAGAGTAAAACCTAAGTAATTGCAGAAAAGCCAGTCTGAATTAGTGAAAATCTGAAATTCCTACTTATTTTTAAGTGCAACTTATGTCAGTGATTGGAGGTCCTGCTACAATGCCCTTTGATTTATAACAAGCATTTGATGCAAGCAAACCAATTCTTTTTTAAAAATAGATGTTTTTCTGTTTTCTCTTCTTTACTTATAATTTTTAAATAATTATCCCTAATCAATTTTGTTAAAAGCAAAAAGTTGGAAACCACAACTTGCCAATGACTTGTTACCTAGTCACTGGAGTCACTAGAAATTAATTTCATGATTTCTAGAAAGTTCTCTCACTATGAGGCAGTTTGTTCACAAAGTTCATTAGGGTTAAAAACAATCCTGTCATTTGCATTTCCTGGATGTTGAGTGATATTGAGCACTTTTTCATGTGTCTGTTGGCCATTAGTATATCTTCCTTTGAGAAATGTCTGTTCAGTTCCTTTGCCCATTTTTTTTTTTTTTTTGTCTTTTTTCCGTGTCCGGCAACGGATCGCAACCCTCAGTGTCGCCCCCGTACCGGACCGGGGACCGACAACGGATCGCAACCCTCGGCGTTGCTCCCGCGCCTCGCTCAGCCAGTGAGCGGGAACCGGTCTGTATGTGGGATCCGAACCCTCGGGCGGGAGCGCCGCCGCGCTTCCCAAGCGGCACACTATCCAGTGCGCCACCGGGCCGGCCCGCTTTGCCCATTTTTTAATTGGGTTATTTGAGTTTTTTTTTGTTGTAAAGTTGTTTGAGTTCCTTGTATATTCTGGATATTAATCCTTTGTCAGATGTATATTTAGCAAATATTTTCTCCCACTCTGTTGGTTGTTTTTGTACTCTGTTGATTGTTTCTTTTGCTGTGCAGAAGCTTTTTAATTTGATATAATCCCATTTGTTCATTTTACCTTTAGTTGCCTGTGCTTTTTAGGTCCTATTCATGAATTCTGTACCCACTCCTATTTCCTGGAGTGCTTCCCCTATGTTTTCTTTAAGGAGTTTTATTGTTTCAGGGTGTATATTTAATTCTTTAATCCATTTAGAGTTGATTTTGGTATATGGTGAAAGATACAGGTCTAGTTTCATTCTCCTACATATGATTATCCAGTTTTCCCAGCACCATTTGCTGACAAGGCAGTCTCTTCCCCAGTGTGTAGACTTGCTGCCTTTGTCAAAGATCAGATGGCTGTAGGCATATGGGTCCATCATCTGATGAGTGGATAAGGAAACTGTGCTACATCTACACAATGGAATACTACTCTGCTATAAAAAAGAATGAAATACTACCATTCACAACAACATGGATGGACTTAGAGAAAATTATATTAAGTGAAACAAGTCAGGCCCAGAAAGAGAAACACCACACGTTCTCATTTATTTGTGGTAGCTAAATATTAATAAATAAATAAACACACAAACAAATAAAGGGTGGGGGAAGAAGACAGAATAACGACAAAAATTCCTTGAACTATTTAAGCCAACTGCACAGATACGATGTGGGGGGGTGGTGGGGGTGGAGAGGAACAGGTAAAGGGGCATGAAAATCAAGTACAATGTATTTTGAGAAGTAAAATAAAATTAAATTAAATTTAGAAAAAAATTAAAATAAACAAAAAAACAAACAAACAAGGGCCGGCCTGGTGGCGCACTGCTACAGTGCGCCGCTTGGGAGTGTGGCAGTGCTCCCGCCAAGGGTTCGGATCCCACATACAGACCGGTTCCCGCTCACTGGCTGAG